TTTTCAACAGAGAACGCACCAACTATTGTGAGTGCAATCTGCGCGTGAATAAAGAATTAGAGCAACATATCTTAAGTATCACGCATACCTTAAAAAGTTAGTACATTATATTGAAAAAATGTTATGTTTCATCATGATTACTGCACATTTGCGGTCCATGATTGACTTAATCGCAGCGCTCGCGCCAAACCGCAGACCACCAAGGTATTTAATTTCAAAGTTAACTCGGAGATTTGAGACAATGATGTCTGCAGTTAATTCATTTCCTCACGGAACAGTGTGTTCGGCGTAATTTTGGAGGCTCGGTCATTTCTGACTTGGAACTGTCATTACGACCTTCTTCTGTTTTAAGAATTTAATGTTCAAAGTCGATAATATTACTCGAAGATTAGAAAATATCGGTAATCGGTATAGGATTCGAAACAGTTCGCAAATTCACTTCAATTCATATAATGATTTTATGAAAAAGTTTTACGCACGATAGTTCGTTCCCGTCAATTAAAATTCAGGCATTACCTTTTATGCTTTGATTTTTAGGAGGCAAACGAGCAAACGGATCACCCGATGGTAAGTGATTACCGTCGCCACAGATCAACCGTCGCCCATAGACACCCGCAGACCCAGGGGCGTTACAGGTGCGTTGCCGGCCTTTAAGGTAAAGATACGCTCTCCTCTTGAAAGCTTGCAGGTCGTATCCGTCCGGAAACACCGCAGACGACAGACAGACAGACATACTCAAGTAACAGGTATGTCAGTTGAAAGACGAAACCATATTAAATGTTGTGGGAGTACTGGAATCAGATCACAACGAGGCCTATGGAAAGATTACTGTATTACTTATTGAAAAAGTTTGTTTTAATACAGTTTACATTTGACTTCAACTACATACGAGTAGTTGAAGTCAAATGTAAACCATATTACTGTCCCCCGTTTATCCTAATCAGCTCCTAGTTGCAGGCCAACTTTTTTTCTCCTCTTCACAAGGTCCCGTGTCAATTTTCTGCAGTCACCGGTCCCGTTGGAACAACGGGTAATGGTTTGCCAAACGAATGTCGTCTTTATCTCTTTTACAACTATTGCCCATATTGCTTTTTTCTCTCCTGAGCTACTCCATTTTTCCTGAACAACTTACGAGATTTTCACGCGGTTCCAAAACAGCGAGTATGAAAAAGAGTGTGGTGTACTAGGCAAGTGTTCCGAGTGTGATTTTTTCCGCGATTTTGGTACAATTACTAGCAACACAAGGTGGACCGACGAAATCGTTAAGGTAGCAGGGAGGTGCTGGACGCAGGCCGCTACCAATCGATCAACGATGAAAGCATTGGGGGAGGCCTTTGTTCAGCAATGGATGTCCTATGGCTGAAATGATGATGATGATGATGACTAGCAAGATAAAAGTTCTTCAGTCAGGGACTTCTAACAAAATGTTATACATTTCAATTTAAAATAATCTTTCAGTCTTTATCAACTGCTATCAACGAGTACAAAACACTGCAGGGATGTCAAAAGTACGAATTCTGATTAGCTGACGTCCGTTTAAGCCGTGTGGTGACGACAGAGTAGAACAAATTTGTCACCAACCCCTACTGCCTGCCAAGCGTGGGGATGATGGCAAAATCCTCCACTGTAGTGGAGGAGGCTCATAGTCCAGCAGTGGACTGTAAAAGGCTGTTGATGATGATGACGTCCGTTAATCCATACTCAGCCTTCTCTGGTTAGGATTTATCGACACACAGTTAAACTGACTGTACAGGAATTGGTATAGTATGAGATGGGACTTGACGGAAGTTGGAATTAGATCTGGGGGCACGGCAGTGCCCCCGCCAAGTCGAGCGCGAAGCAAACACTGCCGTACCATCCTTTACTGGAACCATTTCGCCGCATTTTCAGGCCCCTATTTGAGAACCTCTGGATAAGACCAGAACGCTGAAATTTTCGTTATCTAGTAAGCTATAATCACAGACTTAAAATCCAAAATTTCAAGTCTGTAGGTCATTTAGTTCCGAAGTTAAGCGAAAGCAAAGTTTTGCATTTATGACACTCACTCACTCACTGATGATCATCAAAATAGAACTAGTACTTCCCATAAACTCAGAGAGCTGAAATTTNGATTGTAAATTGGCTAGTCTAGTTGCCCCTTCAGTTTATCAAAATGCGACTACAAAGCACTCTTACGGCTAAATGCGCCTACAATCACTTATACAAAGTTAGACAACTTCATATTGTTGAAGACTTGAGGACAAGGTTATACTAGCACAAATTACTGAAATAATATGGTGACCAATTTAATACTACCAATATCATTCTCGTAAGTCGAGTATAATTAATTTATCATACTATTCATTTGGTCAAGGTTACTCCTTGATACTGTTGACCCTTGATACGCTTCTTCTCAACACTTACCGAATGTTATTCTCGAAGCACTGTTAAAAAAAAAAAAAAATGACATGTATAGGCTCCTTAAGAGCATTTGACGATTTGTAAAAACAAATTTAATTAGTCGAATAAAGAAAAGAAGTTACGAATAAAGAAAACTTCGATTTTACGATGCGACGACTGCTTGTGCTAGTGATAAATAAGGTTCATAATTATTGTAGTTATATGCAGACGACAGACTTGTGTAGTTTTATTATACGCTATTATTGCAATAAGCACTCGAGGTATGGTGTAAAGAAATAAAATTCGTAAACGCTATGTAGGATACAGTTGAGCTATGTATGTTCCACAACTAGTGTANATGGGAATACAAAACGCAAGCAATTGATTTTGATATCACGAAAATACTTGTCACAAATCGCTCTTGGCTTTCATTATAATCTATCACTTATCTTTCACCTTAGCATCTAACGGCATAAATTCTAATTAGCTGATATTTTAATTAACACCTTTTCAGTTGTGTTTAATTGCAGCTTAGATTATCAAGTCATTTATGCGATTTCTCCTTGTGAGATTTGTATCTTATTGGTGTATAATTGTGATATACTGTTACACTGCCCAGTAAGTAGGTGAGAAATATATTATTGTATATTTATAAATTGTTTAAACACACTTTGTAATAGGGACCAAATAAGACTGTATCCTATTGATTCAAGAAACGTTTAACACACAGACAGACATCCTAAACGTTTGGGAGGTTCATTTTCTTCAAATTTTGAATGTAAAGACATCGATAAATTATAAAGACTAAGAATAAAAAAATAATAAATAATAAGAAATAAATATCCATGGACATTTTACACTGCGCCTCTAGTCCCAAACTAAGCAAAGCTTGTACTATGGGTACTAGACAACGAAATTGAAATTCATCATCTCAATTTCTGCCCGGCCGGGACTCGAACCCGGGACCTCACGGCATAGTAGTCCGTTCTGAACCACTACACCGAACGGCCGACTGAAATTATTCGGCAATAACTGATCGGGATCTAGCAAAAATACGGAAGAATGTGTTTTAATTGGGTGAGAAAACTAATTTGGACTAATAATTTACTTCTAGCCGCTACTGATCGGAAACGTGTATAATTAATCCAATAAATTTAATCCGCAGACTAATTTAACAAATATTTTTTAACAAATAATTACAAAACGTAATAAATGAAGGCGGGTGAAATTTTATTTCTGATTCAGGTTGAATCAATTGAGAATATGATGGCCTACTTCAGTAAATATGAAAAGCCGTCGGTCCATACAGTCATACTAACGTATTTGGCATCTGATAAAGTTTATTGTGGTTGTTATCAAAATAAACGATGTTCCTTTCCTTTAATTGAACGTCTGAAAGATTGATATACCATCCTTATCTAAAGAACTAACGCCCGTAATGACAAATATTACTATGAGGTCTCACAGTGCGCGTGGACGCACAGGGTGACACACGAATCACAGAGCTCTATTCAACGCTGTGCGTTCGATTTGCTGCTTCACTTAAGCAAGCATCGTTTGCGAATACGGGTGTAAGTGACTCCAATGTCTTTACTTACCTACACCAATATCTTTGAGCCTTGTTTTTAGAGAAAAGAGGTCCATCGCTCTACAATATAAGGACCTCAACAAACTACTGAGCCAGATTTAGAACTTATACAGAAAGCTTTCGGTTTCCACATAATTAAAGACTTTTTCAACGTAAACTTTTTAATTGATGTAAACGGGTCTTAGCAGTGAATTTAATTGTTCAATCAACTGTTTGCTTACTCGCTCATCAGCCTGATTAGAAAACTCTGCTAGACTTGACCACCAACATAACAGAATTGGCATAACATAACATAATTTGTTAGATTTAACATAAAATTACTAAGAATGTTGGACAGGATGAAGCAATTACGAAGTACTATCTTATTAACGTCGTCGAAGAAGATAAAATAGAGCCTTCCTATATAAAATTACAATTGAATCCACCACAATTCATTTGAGAACTTTCAGCTGTTAGAGTCCTATTGGAATGCAGTTCATTATTTTCAACGCTAAATGGACTGGACATACAACAAAATACAAGTAGGTATCACCGGTGAGAAGAAGAAACAGTAGAACCAGCAAGTCATGAAAGTCATTCCATTAAACTCTCATACAAAACGTGCTTGATACGGTACGCGACACTTGTATGAGTCGCTAACGCGTTGATATCTTTTGTATGGAGCCAGCTCTTAGCGCCTTGCCCTGTATGAAAACCACATCGTAGCTGTTATCTCACACATTTTCTCTCATACACACTAATTATGCACACTTAAAATACCCATTGAGAGCTAATGTGAAAATTCCGATCATTAAAAACCCATTTTCACTGCTCGGAAAATCGCACGGAAAAACACGGTTCGCACAAAACTTTCTTCAGCAAGACTATTTCGGCAACTATTTTTATGGGAACCGTGAGGGTCGAATCCACCGTGTCACTAACATACTTTTCGGTTAACATCAAAAAGAGGCGATTTTCACCGTTGCGAATGATAGAAACACGTTATTGTGTTAAACTTTTCATCTCAAACCTAAAACAGTAAAAGAATACTTACAGTGAATGTTAGTGTATTCCGGCAATAACAAGTCCACTGCACTTTTAAAAATTAGAACAACAAAATAGGGTTGCGCGATGCACGTGTCGATATAGCGGTTTGATTTGCGCCGCGACGTGCGGTCGGAGCGATGGCCGCGAGAGACTGGCGCGCCGCTTCGTCTGCGAGGCACCTGCCGCCCGGCCCCCGCGGTTAGTGACAGGTGGAAAGCAGTATCGACATCGATAGACCTGCTGCTTCTTGGAATCTCTAGTCTAGCGCGAGCTTCTGAACACGCGACGAATGGAAAGTCGCATCGATGTCGATGGAGCATGTTTACTGAGGTTTTGAGCAATTGGTCACCTCTAGGAATCTAATAGATCTTTCAAGTTTAAAATCTCTCTTGAAGTCATGGTTGGGATAAATTGCAAATCTTCTGAAAAAAGCTATTTCGAAAGAGCTTCTAGTTTTTTCAGTAAACCAGTAATGCTAGAACTGGAATTTAACATAGTTTCATTTCTTGTTTAACTCTACCATTTTAAAGTTATTGTAATGATTTTAGAATTTATATTGTATTTTATACGATTAGGTATTGTTTTGTAACGTAAAACCTAAAAATCCATTATTAAATTAAAGAACTTTATTTGATTACTTCCTGGACATGTTGCAGATATTAGAATGATTTTAAAATGTATTCTGTATTATAGTCGATTATTCCACATCTAATATTTGATTATTATTTAATGTAAATATTCTAGAATTTTTATTGTATACAGTTTAGTATTGTAGAAATAAAAATCAACTATTATTTTTAATTAAATATTGTACTTGACTACTTCCGGGGCATGCCGTCGATAAGTCGTTTGAGCTGATCGATTTTGACGAATGGAAGGGGAAGTGACGTGATCGCTGGCATGCCGCCGGACAGGAGCTAATTGGGTTGTAGCATTGGCACAGTAAAGACCTCAAATCCCTACGTATATAATCCTAGTTGTAAATTGTAATAAATGTATTTTTGGAATCAACAAATAAAAGGTGTAAAGTATCCCGAGTTTATATTTTACGAAATATCAGAAGTGCGAGTGATCCACATCTTCAGCCCACAGACAAAGGTATGTTAAATTATTGAGAACATTTTTTTAAATACATATATTTATTAAGAACAATAATTGCATCTGTACAAAAGATTATTATCATAATAGATTTTACTAGCTAAGTCTGAAGCGTATTTTTGAACTCATTTGTGTAGTATTGTGTTCCGTATATGGTCGGGGCTACTCCCCGGCGGAACGGTCATAATACAGATCACACGTGCATTCAAATTAATTATTTTGTTCGTATTTGATCGGGTCTACCCTCGGTTAATACTAACATAAAAGGACGCGTTCATTTGACTTAAGTAGATAATTTTTCCGTTTGAAAATACCGACTAAAGTACATAATTTGTAATGACAATGCAACATGTTTCTTAATAAAATTTTGTATTTGTATAATATGTATTACGCTCGAATCTTGTGTGCTGTATTGCGTCTCGTATATGGTCGGGGCTATTCTCCGGCGGAACGGACATAATACGGAGCACATTTGTATTTAAATTATTATGTTTGTATATGATTGGGTCTACCCTTTGACGATATTAACATAATGAAGCGTGTACCTATATTTTAAAAACTACTGAAGTGCATGTTCGAATCTTGTGTGCTGTATTGCGTCTCGTATATGGTCGGGGCTATTCTCTGGCGGAACGGACATAATACGGAACACATTAGTATTCAAATTATTATGTTCGTATATGACGGGGCTATCCTCTGATGATTATAAACGTGCAGGACTAGTTAAGTGTGCTATGTCCTGATGGAGATAATTCAAAGGAAGTATGTTAGTTCTATGGCTATACAGACCGACTTAGTGTGTCGGCGGTATTTATTAACGTTAAGGACTAGTTAAGTGTGCTAAGTCCTGATGAAGATAATTCAAAGACTAAGTACCTTTAGATTAGTTCGTATAGTACCAATTAAAAGTGCCCAATTAAGGCAGTCTAAAACTTTATAAATTTAGTATTTATGCAAAATTTAACGTAATATAATATCGATTGTAAATTGGCTAGTTGCCCCTTCAGTTTATCAAAATGCGACTACAAAGCACTCGTACGGCTAGATGCGCCTACAATCACTTATACAAAGTTACACAACTTCATATTGTTGTATACTTGAGGACAAGGTTATACTAGCACTAATTACTGAAATAATATGTGACCAATTTAATACTACCAACATCATTCTCGTAAGTCGAGTATAATTAATTTATCATACGATTCATTTGGTCAAGGTTACTCCTTGATACTGTTGACCCTTGATACGCTTCTTCTCAACACTTACCGAATGTTTGTCTCGAAGCACTGTTATAAAAAAAAAAGACATGTATAGGCTCCTTAAGAGCATTTGACGATTTGTAAAAACAAATTTAATTAGTCTATACGAATAAAGAAAACTTCGATTTTACGATGCGACGACTGCTTGTGCTAGTGATAAATAAGGTTCATAATTATTGTAGTTATATGCAGACGACAGACTTGTGTAGTTTTATTATACGCTATTATTGCAATAAGCACTCGAGGTATGGTGGAAAGACAAAATTCGTAAACGCTATGTAGGATACAGTTGAGCTATGTATCTATGTTCCACAACTAGTGTAATGGCCATGTGTGCTGTTTGCTGTTGTGGAGCTATGTATGATCCTCGACAAGTAGCGGCCAAGTATGCCGATGGGCCTGGTGTGTCCTTGATTTTTAATATGAAGTTTTAGCGGCCAAGTGTGCCGATGGGCCAAGTGTGTCCTTGATTTTTAAATTATGAAGCGTTAGCGGTGTGATCATAGTTGGTAATTGTTTTCATTTATTTTATTTTTTTAGCTAGCTAGCTTTTAGCCTTTCCAGTTTCTTTTTTTTATGATAAAACTAACTTTGTGTACCGCGTGGAATATTGTGTCACAAAAAAAATATATCACGCGCGTATCTGTTTTTAAAAACCGGGATCCTTCGTCCTTTCCCGGGACTCAAACTATCTCTATTTATTTATTTATTTATTTAAACTTTTATGCCAAAATAAAATTTGAACATAAGGCGAACTTAATGCACTAAAGCATTCTCGATGCCAAAATTCATCAAAATCGATTTAGTGGTTTAAGCCTTAAAGACAGACAGACAGACACTGGTAGACAGAGTTACTTTCGCATTTATTTTTAGTATAGATATTAATATAGATATTGAAGTTACAATATAAATATATATTACCCACCTAGTATTGAAAGGCCATGAAGTAGACACACTAGGTGTGCTTGCTGGCATTTCAGGCGAGCCACCTTGCGTTAAAGGGCTAAGTATGTCCAGAAGACTCGCAAGGTGTGCTTGCTGGCATGTCAAGCGAGCCACCTGGCAGTGAAGGGCTATGTATGTCCGTTTGATAGACACACTGGGTGTGCTTGCTGGCAAGTCGAGCGAGCCACCTGGCGTTGAAGGGCTAAGTATGTCCGTTTAGAAGACTCGCTAGGTGTGCTTGCTGGCAAGTCAAGCGAGCCACCTGGCGTTGAAGGGCTAAGTATGTCCGTTATAAGACTCACTAGGTGCGCTTGCTGGCATGTCAAGCGAGCCACCTGGCGTTGAAGGGCTATGTATGTCTGTTTAGTAGACACACTAGGTGTGCTTGCTGGCATCATGGCATGTCAAGCGAGCCACCTGGCATTGGGCTATGTATGCCCCTTTAGGAGACGCACTGGTTGTACTTGCTGACTTCCGGTAGGATTTTGCGGGTATGTCAAGCGAGCCAACCAGTCGTCACAGGATTGTGTATGAAAGTTGCATAAAAAAAATACAAACATAAAATCTTTATTTGTGAAGCATACGTAAAATGGTTACATGTAACAGTGGAATTACCGTGCTTTGCTCAAAGAGCATACAATAATTGTCGATTACTAGATTTTAATATTTAATTTTGGATAGGAGATAAATTAAACGGGCTTTAAATATGAAATTAACATTGAACATAACTCCCAATTCTGCAATTGACTATAATTAATAATCTGTATTGACAATTTCACAATTTGACATGCAATGAATATTATAAATAAATATCTTATTCTTATTATTCTTATTCCCAGAAAATGTTGAGTTGATACTTGTCATACACAGTTTATTCCGTCGAGGACTTTATTTCACAGTTGAGAACAATGACGTCTGAAGATGAATCCGGTACACCACTGGGGACGCCCGTCAGCCGACGACGAAATAAGCGAGATAAGCGTATGAAGTTATCTTCGTCATCCAAGTAAGGAAGCGTCACCACGTCCGTCTTCTATGGAGCGAAGTTCCAAGAAAAAAATGCAAGGGGCTCATCTTCGAGCTCTACTGAAGAAGCAAGCAGGTTAGCAGCTTAGGTTCGAAAATACTCTTTATTGAAGTATTTTGAAATTATTTTATACGTTTAGTAGTTACGTAGTTATTCTTTTAATAACAGTTTTGACAATGTAATCCCTGAACTCAACTTCAAATAGAATGACTGTTTTGGTAAATGGAAAATCCATAAACGCGTACTTAATATTTTTGTAATGAGAGCACTCTTTTACGCAAAACCGATACTGATGTAGGTACTTAGTTTGGCGAAGCATTTTGATAATACTCCATTTGTAAGATATTTGGTCAGTTATCATTCTTACCTTAAAAAGAGTTAATATAACATGAATATTGATAGTATTGACGTTGTAATAGAATTGTTAGTAATCAATGATGTATTAATATACAGACCACTGACAGAAATGGTCGTAACTTCTCGGAACTGCCATTTCTCATGGTTTTGAAGAAAATTAAGGAAATATAAAGAAACACAGATCTTAACGCGACATTTAATATGAGTTGCATTATGCATATAAATATATTTTGAAGAGTAGTCCTAAACTAACATTCTATTAAGGTCCTGATCAGAAGAATTAATTTTAAACAGAATATTTTTGAAAACCACGAAGACGTTTTGAAAGTTCTTGCTAGCGGTACGATAGAAAATGCAGGTGAACTATTCTAGTTTTACCGGGGATAATAATTCAAATTGCCTGGCGATAAGCGTCGCCTCTCGATCAAAATCTTTACGTGGGTTCGATTCCCTCCTTAATCAGTTCCCTTTTTGTTTCAAATAAAAAAATATATATCAGGAGATTGTTATGATCGAGGAATATAATATTGCGATCATAATAATCTGAGGCCGAGTACCGGATGTTACAAAGTCTTTTGAATCCACAATGGCGGAGATGAAGTCGTTGTTAGTCATAATAGTCATGTCTCCTAGTAAATAACACTTCAAGCTAATATTTCTTATAGCTAGAACAATGACATAACCAAACCACAAAAAAAGAAGAGCTTTAGTTCAGCGAATAGCACTACAGCGGCTACCGACAGGTGGAATACTCTTTTGATATTAAATGTCGATTTAGATTACAGATCTATAGTGCGCTGGGTCGAAATACCAAATTAGTCATAGGGCTTTATAGCATAGGGAAGGAAAATTGGCTATTGTCTCTTCAAATAGAGGATACAGAAATATTTAGAAAATTTTAAAACCTGCTGATGGTCAAGAATGTAGTAATATTCATCAAAATTATGTAGTCGGAAGCGTACAGAAAGGTTATTAAAAAAGTGTTTCAAATACAAATAAAATACAAAATTATTTATTATGAATTATAGGTAAAATGGTGACATGTTACAGTAGGTAGTATCACTATGTTCCGCTCAAAGAGCATAAAAGTTAGTGCGCTTATATTAAAGATAATATCAAACAAAAAAAAAACAAGTTGAAATAATTGTTATTTCTGACAGGACTGCTACATGTACCTTAATTTTGAGTTTCCGTCCCGTAATAATAGTCCCGTCAGTAATAATAAGGATAGTGACAATGAAAGTTTAAAACAAAAAGTTGAAATACAGTTTTTTACACTATAATGAATTATTTAGATTCCTCTGCGAAGACGATAGACGGTAACACAATAGAATAATAATAAATAATAATACACACTGTCGTAGATGATTTTTCTAAAAAGTATTGTGAACTGTGTGTATAGAACTGAAAATAAAAAGTACAAAGCTTGTGTCAAAGTTCTTTGGACCCGGTAAAGTGACAGAAACTTTAGGTAACATTACATTAGGATAGCTGGTGTTCCAATTTTTGCCAAAGAAAAGGTAAACCTTATTACGTTTGTGAAATGCGGCCTACAAAATTCGAGCTTAGATTCATGTTGAGGCCTTGGAAAAATCATAATTCTGATGAAAGTATCTAAAGTAATAAATAATTAACAGTATGCTCTTTATGTAGGCATAATATGCTCTCTGTAGGCAATACCAGTTAATATAAGTAATAATAGGTATTATCTAAGAAAAGTTATTATGTATAGATTGTTGTACCCAACCGGGTGTGCATAGTTCTTAAGTTACTTAGACTAGGTTTTTAAGTTTTCTACTGTACAGTAAATACAACACTTTTTCCCTTTCTTAACACAATTTGCACATGATTATAGCACTTATTTACAAGTTGTCAAAAGTTGTATATTTTATATGATTCGAAATTAATATTAAGTAAAGTTTTGAAATTAATATTAATGATTTTAGAATAACTTTATTAGACGTTAAGAACAGGCCGAATGTAATGATTTTTATATTTATTAGACGTGAATGCCAGGAGGCATCACGGTGACGGATGGCCGAATGTAATGATTTTAGAATTTATATTGTATTTTATACGATTAGGTATTGTTTTGTAACGTAAAACCTAAAAATCCATTATTAAATTAAAGAACTTTATTTGATTACTTCCTGGACATGTTGCAGATATTAGAATGATTTTAAAATGTATTCTGTATTATAGTCGATTATTCCACATCTAATATTTGATTATTATTTAATGTAAATATTCTAGAATTTTTATTGTATACAGTTTAGTATTGTAGAAATAAAAATCAACTATTATTTTTAATTAAATATTGTACTTGACTACTTCCGGGGCATGCCGTCGATAAGTCGTTTGAGCTGATCGATTTTGACGAATGGAAGGGGAAGTGACGTGATCGCTGGCATGCCGCCGGACAGGAGCTAATTGGGTTGTAGCATTGGCACAGTAAAGACCTCAAATCCCTACGTATATAATCCTAGTTGTAAATTGTAATAAATGTATTTTTGGAATCAACAAATAAAAGGTGTAAAGTATCCCGAGTTTATATTTTACGAAATTATGTTTTCTAACTAGTCTATCAGGCCTAGACAAAGTACCGAGATAGTAATAAGATATAATCATCACCACCGTAATGGCTGTTTTCTAAGCATACAAACGACGGCTCTTCAAGCTTAGCCCAACAGTATCTTTATAGTTTGGAATAGCTGCGATTTTGCAACATCAGTGTATACTCTTACATGCTCGCCTCTTATTCTTGTCGATTCCACAGAAGCGACCGTAACTCGCAATCAAACATAATTTTCTTTATATGCTCCAACTGATTGGCTCCACCATTTGTCGCGCTTTAATCGGCCACAGACATCTCTATTACAAACCACAGTCCACGATACACATCGCGACGTCCACTTTTATCGATCACACGCTGATCGAACCACACTAACCCAACAACATACACCGAATGATCAAATTAATTACAATCTCATCTCGACGCCGCGGCCAACATAAAAAAACCGGCCGTCTCACTCTGGCGTACAGAAAAAAGCATATGAAAGATACACACGTCCCGCTCTCGTTGGAGTGAAAAAATGCTTAGAATCTTCGTCGGTAGCGCATGCCGAATGTGAAACGGGATGGTGAAACCTGGAGTTGTGAATGAATGGTTCCGTTTGATGTGTGCCATTCAGACGGTTAGAGCGGGAATGATATTACGGTTATTTACAATAGGATATCAAATACGATATAGGTAATATACACTCGACGTCAAATAAATCGCACCTCCCGCGACAAGCACTTTCAAACGTATGCATCCCCACTTCCCACCAATATTGGCACCATTTAAAAGCCTAGTTCTTAACTTCATTTCATTAAATAAAGGTTTTTACCCCAAAAATGTGTCTTTAGAAGGATCCAGAGTCACTTCTTCAAAAAATTGGTAGATACGCTTGAGCCAACTTTTATGGCTATAAAACTGTTAAGTTGGGATTAATCGCTATCCATCTGTTAAAGAGGACACGTGTGATCATTATTTGGTTTTATAACCATAAAATTTGGTCTAATTGATCCCAGAGGTGAGCCCAAAGTGAGGTCTTTTTTCAAGTCACATTTATGGTATATGTTAATCATTTATTAAGAAATTAAATGTGTTTTTCTGTAGGGATATTTATTGGGCTTTCAAATAACACCAATATTGTTGGGGCACCATGATTGTGTCAGAAGAAAATCTTTAAAGTTCGCGTCACGGAAGGTGCGGTTTATTTGATGTTGAGTGTATTATGGCTAAGTATCAAACAGAGAACGGGCAGCAGCTCTCTCTGAAAAATCAATCTTTTAAACTGCGATCTCCAACCCGCCTGCCAAGCGTGGGGATTATGGCAAAACCCTCAACTATAGTGAAGGAGGCTCATAGTCCAGCAGTGGACTGTAAAGGGCTGTTGATGATGATGATGATGATGATAATGGCTAAGTACTCCCATAAAATATTATGGTCATTCCACGGAAATGAGATATCGCACCCTTCCTGGAATAAGTACGCAAGTGAAAAATGCCAACTTTTCAGGAGCGTAAAAAAACTGTCCTAAAAATTTATTACCATTATTAAAAATATGTGTTATACATCAAAAGATAGCTAAAAATGTCTGTGAGGGGCCTATGTATTTACATTTAAAATACACTTAATAGGTTTTGAGAAAAACTTAAAAAAGAGCGTTGCGTACTTATTCCGCGAAACAAATTTTAACACTTGTTGTTGTAATTATGNAGTGGAATGTTAAATTGTAGGAAAAGTGATTGTCAACCATCCAAGATATTATCTCTTTGCCCGTTAACCCACGCCTATGTAGATTCCACCCCAAGAGTTCCTTCTGATAGAGACCCAGTGCCTTTACACTTATTTACAAGTTGTCAAAAGTTGTATATTTTATATGATTCGTGTATAGTTTTGAAATTAATATTAATGATTTTAGAATAACTTTATTAGACGTTAATACCAGGCCGAATGTAATGATTTTTATATTTCGTTCGTTCGTTCGTTTCAGCCGAAAGACGTCCACTGCTGGACAAAGGCCTCCCCCAAGGATTTCCACAAAGACCGGTCCTGCGCCGCTTGCATCCAGGTAAGTAGTGTGTTATTGGGCGTTCTAACTCACATTCGTTCGGTCGCAGTTTGCGACCTCACTCTGTGCGTTAGATCGCCCAATAACACGATCGTAAGTAAACCNCACACTGTCGTAGACGATTTTTCTAAAAAGTATTGTGAACTGTGTGTATAGAACTGAAAACAAAAAGTACAAAG